TATCCTGCGGAGCTCCAGGTTTGCGCAGCACTTCTCCATCCAAGATGGCAGGGCAGACGCGGGTGCTGCGCCGCCAGGCTGCTGCCCCAGGAGGACGAAGGTTGGTATCCTGCACCTCCATGGATCGTTTGGAGGCTGGGGCACACATGGGCTTGGCATGGGGGCATTTGTGCCCGGGGCTAAGCAGGATCCCGCAGAGCAGGGTGCGCGGTGGAGGGCATCTAAGAGCTGGCGTGAGCAGGGCTCCCAGCGCCTCGAGGCACCTTTATCTGCTGGAGACCTCTCTGCTCCTCCTCATGGATGTCCCTTCTGGCTGCTGCTGGGCAGGCGGGGGCCGTGGCGTGGCAGTTTTGGGGAGGTGAAGGAGATGAATCCCCACAGCTGCACGTCCCTGAAACGCAACCTTGTGCTTGGGGTGGGAGGGATGTTCTCAGTCCTGGTCCAAGCAGGAGGCATTTCTCAGATAAAAGCAGAGCGAAGGTCCTGGAGGAGCTCTTGGCATCCTCCTCACAGCAGCGAAAAGCAGCTGGAACGATGCCCCCACACTGCAAGCAGGGACTGCCCTCGCATTAGCTACAGCAGGGTTGGCTGGGGCTGCCCTTGGCTGCAACAAGGGAAGATGCTGTGGGGAAACGCTGCTCTCCTGCTTCCTGGCCACATCCTGCCTTGGGTTGTTCTCTGCCCCCAGGAGAGGATCTGCGATCCCTTCGAGCTGCTGGAGCAGCGGGGTGTCCCGGGACCTGCCTGCCGCCCTACCAGCGCCTGCGGCGCTCGCGGGTGCTGCTGAGCGGCCAAGCGCAGCCAGCGAGTCCGGGGCTTGCAGCCCCTGCGGCACGTGGCTTTCGCTGGAGGGCAAATAAATGGCTGAGCTCGGACCTCGCTGCATCACTCAAGGTCTGGCAGATTGCACACAGGTTTGGCTGTAGCCATGTGCAGTTATTTAGTCCAAAGAGCAGTGATGTTTGCAGAAGGCAGCTTGGAGAAGCAGACGTGAGAGGAGCTGTGCAGGGACTACCCTGTGGCATGGACACATTGGGCTGGGCCCGGCTGCAGCGCGAGGGCTTTGGGAACCCACAGCCGGGAAGCAAACATTTCGGAGAACCAAAGAGCCATAGCGTCAGGTAGCCACAAGCAACAAGACGCTCCCTCCTCGTTTCCATCTTGCTGCGCTTGCCCCCCACATGCAGGGAGCCCTGAGCATCCGCAGGGCAAAGTCTGTGCAATTAGCACACCTCTGTGTGATTAGCACCTCATTTCTGAGGCTGCAAATGAGCCTCTCGCCATGGCTGTGGGAGAGGAGGGCCAAGGGAGCTCAGCCAGGCCTGCTTTTCCATGGAGAACTTGAAGGAGATCATGAGGCCCACCGGGCTGTTGCTGTGATTTGCACAGGAGATACCCGAGTTAGCGCTGGCGGCAGCTAGGCCTGGCTGAGCTCGACATGCCCCGGCGTGGGCCCTGTCTCCGTTGCGTTTTCTAAAGCTGCCAGAGAGTAGCCCCACTCCACGAGGTGGGATTTTCTCCTTCTTTCCTTGTGCAGAGCTGCCGCACTTTATAGTTTCCTCCAGACTCCACCTAGTGGAAAAGCCCTGAGTAGATTTTTGCAGGGAAGGCTGGAGCGGCAGCTGGCCAGGTCTGGAGGAGGCTGAGGAGCACAGGGTGTCGAGGCTGCCACCGGAGGAGTCTTGAGCTCCTGCCGGCCCCACCGGGAGGCTCGTGAGGTGTGAGGCGAGTGGGATGGGAATAGCGGGCTGCACAGAGGCTCTCAGTGCAGGAGGTGCTGCTCAATACCCTGTATCCAGCTGCTGAGCAGCAAGTGTGGCGTGCTGAGGGGTGCCCGGAGCACCACAGGCACCAAGGGCCTTTCAGGCATGGTTCCTGTGTGAGGAAACTGTGTGAGGAGCAGCGGTCAAGGAGAAAGACCAGGTGAAGTCCTCTCTGGTGAAGGAGAAGGTGAGGAGGGGACACTTCCCAACCCTGGAGACCTGACTGTGGAGACCAGCAGGTCTGTAGTGCAGGTGAAGACAACTAGCAGAGTTGCCTGAGCCCTCGGGTTAGGAGATGAGATTAGAAACAGGGATTTGGAGATCCCTTCAGATTGTGGGTGGTGGGGCTGCATGGGGCCATCTCATGGTCAAGGTCTCACTGCACCATCCCGGCAGCTGCTTCCCCAGCCCGCTCTCCATCCCACTGTGATGGTGTTTCCACCCTCCTTGCACAGTAATTTTCCACACCTTGCTCTGGGATTGACCAAAATCTCCCTCTCTGCTGCTTAAACAGCATCTTGCATCCCCCATCTCACTGTGTGAGCACACAAAGACTTGTGCTAGGAGGGTTTTTTTGCAGACGATGATAAAAATTTGCAAGATGACAGGGATAGGGAAGCCTGCGGTGCAGAAACATTTGGCAGCACCCTCTGAATGATGGGTCATTCAGAGGCGCCTCCAGGTTAAAATACTGAAGCCAGTAAAGATGGCACCGTGGTGTCCGATAAACCCATCACACTGACCTCCCTACGAGCACCAGCAGCGAGGCGCGATGCTCGCTCGGCGCCGTCCCCATGGGCCTCCTCCTCCTACAAGAGTTAATCGCTGACCTAAAAATTAGCGGTTGCCTTGGTGCTGGGGATCATGATCTGATTATGTTGGCTTTGTATAAACGGCTTATGGTGCCAATCAGCGATACGTAGAGGGAAACCTCTGCGGGGCCCAGCTCCCCCAGCCTGCACGCTGCTCCCTGCCCAAGCGCATGGGAGCAGAAGCCGAAATTTGGAAGTGTTGGCAAGGACAGGGCTATCCGAGGACTTCCTGTGTTGTATCCTTGTATCCCCAAAACACGTGGCCTGGTGAGTTTGTAACAAGTTAAAAAAAAAAAAAAAAGGCAGACGCTAAAGAAGCAGCACAAAGCAAAACAAAATCCATTTAGAGAGCATCATGACACAAGAAAAGATAGTGAGTTAAAGATTCCGATTCAAAAAGAAACATAGGCAACTGCCAAGGATGCTCTGAAGCAGCTTGTCTGATGGGTTCCCGGCAGCTCTACAGGGGTAGGAAATTCTGACAGCGGCACAACGGGCCAAAATGTCCAACAGTGACTCTTGTTCTGTGTTGGGAACCAGGCTGGAGAAGCCATCGTCTTGGGTAATGTGCATAGAAAAGGAGGTTTGACATCTATCCCAAGACCTTTTCTACCCAGAGCAGAAGCTTTTATGTGACTAGTAAGAGCCCCAGCAAGAGCCGTACCAGGACAAGTCGCGCTTGCTGGGCCTCCTGTATTAACTCTTGGCAGAACTTGGGCCACTAGGAAACATGAGGATTGCAAAAATAATTCCAGGATTTAGAAAGGATTTCCTTCGTGCCCCAGACTGCTTATCCTGACCTCTGCCATGAGCAAAAGAGGGGAGCGATTAATTCACTATTTAGGGATTAAACATATAAATAATGCCCATAAACATAGTTTCCTGGAAAGTCGCCTCGCCAAGCCATCCTCCTGGGTTTGGGTGCGACCATGAGTCTGACAAGTCTGGTTTACCACAAATTCCAACAGTGTTTTGGATTTGGAGCTATATAGTGCCATGAGATATTCCTGCTTAGGGAGATATGGTGGTTTTGGGGACCAGACGCTAGTTAGTCCTATTTTATTGTGTACTGATGATGAAGCCAAGGCATTGATTAATTTGCCCTGGCACATCCCTCCCTCCTTGCCTATTTACTTGCAAAGTCTTTCATAAAGTCCCTAAAATCCCATCCTGGGAGGTGGTGGCAATTAGCTCTCGTCATCAAAGAGAGTCATCCCAGGGCGAGCGAAAGAGCAGATGGGGCAAGGGGGCTCCCACCTGCAAAAGTCTTCATTAAAAAGGCACAAATCCCCACAGGGGACCTTTTATTTCTCCAGCTTTCCAGAGAAAAGAGGCACCCAGTGCTGCTCCAGCAGCGAGACCCCCGCATGTGACATGCATATGTAAAAAGGCCACAGCTAAAAGACACGGGAGGTCCACAGCCCCGTTTCCTGTAAATCCTTGGCATTTGGGGGCAGGAATGGGAGGCAGCAGGAGAGAAAAACACAAATTCACACGAGTGACACTGCGTGTCGGTGTCTGCCTGGGCCTGCGGGCCGCGGATAGGTCCCTGGACGCAGCCTGGACCCTCCTTGGCGGGGCTTACAGGGAGCCGGTGCCATTTGGGGCAATTTGGGGTGTTCTGGGGCAATTCGGGCCCGATTCGA